CGTGAGCTGGACCCCCTGCAGTAACTGTGCTTTACCTCTTGAGAAATGCCAGGAACATCTTCCAAAGCGGCGGCGCCATCCAGCCTTCCTCCCACTGCGGCGTCCTCGCCAGCACTGGTGTCTGCCCTTTGACTTCTAGCGGTCGCCAGGTGCGGGAGTTGCGGTCTTCTCATGGCTTTGACGTGCGTCTCCCTAACGGTGGACGGTGCTGAGTGCCTCTGCTCGCGCATGCGCCATCTGCACGCCTTTAGAGCACATCTTCGAATCACCCTCATCGCTTTGGGCCACTGGCATAACCGCTCCGCTCTAGAAGATTGGAACTCGTCCCCTGACACTTTCTTGACCCACTTGTCTAAGAGTAAATTACTGTGGATGATCTCGAAAAGGTAGTAAAAATAGTGTACAGCCAACTGCAAGGTGAGGATGGAGAGGAATTTTTACTTCCACTTCAGTTTCTTTAACGCTTGTTGGAAAAGCCACAGTTTTGATTCCTTTTGGCACGGATTCTAACGTGCTTTATTTTCCCAGAAGCATACACAGCGCTCGTCCAGTTTGATACCGCCTCAGAGCAGCTGTGCTGTGCTCTGCTGCTGGGCACACAGTGTGGTGTTCTCTCTTGGGAGATGGTTTGCTCTCCGTCTTTGGGTTACAAACAGTGTCACCGTTGTTTGGATTGTCGTCTCTGGAACAGACCACCATGGTGGCTTAAAAAAACAAGTATTTTATAGCAGGAATTTGGCAGGGCTTATCCAGGTGGTTCTTCTGTTGGGTCCACCTCTGGTGGTGTCCACTGAGGTCACTAACAAAGCTGGAGTTTGGCTGTGGCTGGGACATGCGAGCTGGCCCTCACCTGGGCGCTAGCTTGTTTCTGTCCGCTTGCCCTTGGACTCTTATCTCTCTGCCTCCTCCCCTCTTCCAGGCCTTCTCTTCCCCGTGGTGGTCAAACATCTTGACTCAGTGGCTCACTTCCCAGAGGGCAGAACCAGAAACCGCCATGGTGCAGAGAGAAGAAATGTCTTTGCAAAAAGGTCCTGCACAATTATAAGCATCCTTGCACACTTGTCTGATGAGTCTCAGAGTCAGATCCGATCAGTGCTTGAGGCTGTGTGGTCTGCTTATTGGAAGGTCTCGGGCAGGTCGCACAGCCTCTGGGACCAAGAGTTATCAGGTCTCCCCTCCCCAGCACTTCGTGCAGTGCTCAGGGAAAATCACCCACACTGGCACTGATCTCAGGGCTCTCCAGGGAATCCTGGGAGTTTTTGCCAGGCCAGACTTGGCTTCTGCCTGCCTGTCATTGACAGAGTTGGTGTGCTGCCATTTTTCAAAAAAAGAGCAGGATGAATAGCTCTTTCCTCTTGCCCACCGCCTGGATCTCGTCTCCATCTGGCCATCACAGTGCTGCCCTGCACAGTGCTTTGGTGCAGCGTGCCCTGTGGCGGATTCACTGGCTCCCTGTGTCGCTCTGGTCCTCTCCTGAAGTCGGCAGGTGACATGGCTTAAGCCTCAGGTTCTTGAGTCAGATTTCCTGTGCTGTCACCCAGACATTGCTGAGGTCTGTCGTATGGACAGCTGGCTTCAGCTCTGTCACCATCACTGTCCTAGCCTGCAGAATGGGAGGGATCTTCCCTGTGCTGCCCAGGGCTGCTGGGAAGACTCAGCAAGCAGGGGCTTGCACAGCACAAGGGTTGCAGGAGTGGCCACAGTGACGCGTTCTGGTTCCTCGGGTCCCTGAGCCTCCCTCACCTCCCGCTCCCACCTGCACTGGGCCGGGAGGCCGTTGTATTCAAGGTAAATAAAATTGTCACAAAGAGCCCATGTAGTGCTCTCCTGGCTGTAAGAATCAGTGTTGTTTTGCAATAGTCCAGGTAAAACGAGACAGTCCATTTCTCCACTGCTTGGGCTGGACCTGGCTACCAAGGCCTTAATTCCTCCCTGTCTTTCCCTGTCCACCTGCACCGTGCACGTGCAGTCTGTCCAGAAGCAAACACACCCCAGGAAGTCTCCCCTCTCCAGGTGCCTTCCGAGAAAGGTGTGGCTCTGTGGACTGCCCACTGTGACTTGGGGTAGGGGAGGTCCTGCCTTCAGTTGATTCAGGATGAGTCAAAGCTGGCCTGTAACATCTGGCCCTGGGTGGCCTGACCAGTACTAAGAGAATATGTAGTGTGTTTGGTGGGGCGTCCTCTGGGAAGGCCTAATTCTGTTCCCTGGGTTACAATTCATTGTTTTACTGTCCGAGAGGACCTGCCTCAATGTCCGGTCACATTTTCCTGCAAATAGCAGTTTTCTGACGATGTCCCCACCCGGGTGTGACTCGTGTGCCGCAGTGTGGGTGTTTCCTGTCGGGGCCCTGGGAGCCCACTGAGTGGGAGACAGTGTTTGGACTTGAGCCGTGTCTGCTCCTTCTGTTGAGTGTCTCTATCGGCTGAGGGTTCACTTTGACAATCTTGGGTGCTCTCCTGGGCCAGGAAAGTCATTTGAGGCAAATTGGAGATGAAGACAGCAGGAGGTTCTTGATGGAAAGTTTCAAGTACCATGGACACTCCTGAGCAAGCTCTGGCATGACCTCTAAAGTGACACGGGGAGAAGAAGAGGGAAAGATCATTTGAGTTCATTTGGGACACAAGAGTCACACTTAGGGTCGCTTCTGTGCTATTTACAGAGTGGACTGAACCTCCTCCAGACCTTGGAGCTTTGCCTTGGCTGATGGGGAAGTGGCATTTTTGTCTTGGATGGTAGCTGTGTTATTATTTGTACAGTCAGAAGTCATGAACACATACCCTGCATGATCGTCTTAGTGTGTGCCACTATAACAGAATTATCCGAGACTGGGTAATTTATAAAGAACGGAAACTTGAGGCTTACGGCTCTGGTGGCTGTGAAGTCCAAGGTCAAGGTTTCAGCTGTGCCAGCGTGTAGTAAGCATTGTTCTGATTCGAGAGGGCTCCTCCCTCAAGCCTCTGCCAAGGGCCGATCCCCACGGACCTCTGAAACACCCCTCCTGTGATACTGTCCCTCGGGGATTCAGTTTCAATAGACATTTTGGGAGGTCCACAGTTAGACCCGGACTGTGTTTAACATCTCTGAGTAGGGTTCTGGGGGTTTCACTGTATTATTTTCAAGGTCTCTCTTGGGGCAGATGGGATGGAATGACCATGGCCTCCACCTCGTAGCCCTGGTGATGCTGCCCATTTTCATGGACTTCTCTGCCCTGCCTCAGCTGAGGTCAGCTGTGTGACTTCACTGGGCCAACTACATTCCCTGTCCCCAGACTTGGATGGGGAAGGGGACGACTCGGACCCGCTCCTTCTGAGACGGTACTGGCTGAGACCACCCTGCCTGTCACACCTGCCCAGCACCTGCTTCTGAGTCTGGTCCTTCATCTCCGTGTGGGCCTCTCTGAGTGGCCTCTTCATCTCCCAACACATGGCTAGTGCGTCCTGAGAGACACTGGCCAGCATTACCTGTGTCCATCCTGTATTGTACATATTGATAGGCCCGGTGAGGGTCCAATGCACAATGGAAAGCAGAATATGGGGGTCTCTGGGCCAGGTAGGAAAGGTGAGTGAGCGTGGTCATCAATAATTTAATAGGAAGAGGAAACCAGAAAGATGGACCTCATCTCTAAGAAAATTACTGCTTGGCCCCACCAGTAGCGTAGCGGGACAGATCACAAGAGTCTGATTTGTGCAGGCCCTAAAATGGTGGCAGCGCCACTGTAGCAAAGGTTATGTCCAGTAGGACTGTCTTCCCGTGCGGCTGCAAGCTTGGGCTTGCAGGTGGCCTGGCTGGGTTCCACCCACCTGGGCTCTGTCTCAGTGGTGTGACCCCGGGCAAAAATCCTTGTCTTCTGAGCCCTGTCCGAGATCTGCTCTGTGGCGCCAGCTTACTGCCTGTCTTACAGAGTCGTTTTAAGGACTCAGAAGCAGGGTGCTGTCAGGATTTTCAGGGCCTGGCCCAGTCTCAGCGCTTAATAAATAGATGCCGCGTGGGTAAGCAAGGAGACTTCGCTTTAATTCCCAGAAAAGTTAGGTAACTTGGGGGAGATAGAGACTGGCCAGTCTGGTCCTGTTCACCATTATACCCAACCCCCAGTGCCTTGCACAACACAGGGGTTCCAAGATTTTAATTGACTATTAAGAGACTCAATTTATTGAAATTGAGTCCTTATAATTGGAAGTGCACAGGAGATGTTATAAAGACCTTGCCTCGGATACCAGCCTCCACCTATCCGTGCATGCATCCATCTGTCCATCCTTCCTTCTTTCCTTTCTTCCTTCCTTCCTTCCTTCCTTCCTTCCTTCCTTCCTTCCTTCCTTCCTTCCTTCCATCTACTCACCCACCCACCCTCTGACCCTAACAAGGTTGAGTTATGGTTCTACCAGTTTGCCACTTAATTTTGCAAAAAGTGAGGCAGAAAGACTGATGGCTGTTCTCTATGAACAGCGTCTGCAGGGCCCAGGTCCTGACACAGGGCTCCCGAAGAAGTCCCATGATGTGAAGATGAAGATTTTCTGCACAAACTCCAGCTTGGCAGCTTCTTGGTTCAATGACCTGGAGCAAACCACGATCTTCCCATGCCTGGCTGGAGATAATGCCCCACAGTTCAGGCTTGTGAGCAGCCAATGAGATGATGTATGTGGAGCCACTGGGACAGTGCCAGACCCGTGGTGATAGTCCAGCAGGGTCCCTTTCTGCTTCCTGACCCAGTGGCATGTGGGCTGGAGAGGTCTTACTTGAATTTGCTGTCTTCCTGGGCTCCCCTTAGCAACTGGGAGGGCAAGAGCGCCCTGCGGCAGCTCTCTGTCCCTCGTGTGGGTCTCTTTATGACCCCTGTGTACTGCCTTTCCCTGCCTTAGCTATGAGGGTCTTAGCACCTGGTGAACTTATCCTTGGAGGACTGTTCGGCCTCCTGCACCTCCTCTTTGGTAAGCAGCTTTCTGTTGGGGTGCCTGAGCTGTGATCCCACTAACCCGGAGCTGTGTCTGTCTCATCTCTCACAGGGAGTCGGACCTCTTCCTTCTTGACAGCCGTACCCTCTGGGCGTCTGAGGAGGGCTGGCTCGTATTCGACATCACAGCCACGAGCAACCACTGGGTGGTCAACCCCCGACACAACCTGGGCCTGCAGCTTTCAGTGGAGACTCTGGATGGTGAGTCCTGGCCTCCTCCACCGCTGGCTCTCCTGCAGCCATGCTTCTGAGCTTCCAGGAGTCCCGGGCAAGGTGCAGGTCGGTTTCCCTGCAGACCAGGCCTTCCTGCCGCTCCTGCGTGAGACTCAGCACCTTGCCTTCCCCTCTCTCCTTCCCCTTGCGTGAGAGGATTGTGAGGTTGGCCACAGACAGGCTGGGTAAGGCCTTGCTGCTCCGACAGGGGCCCCACATCAGCATGGGTGACTGTCTTGATTCACAAGTACAGAATCTCAGGCTGGCCAAGACCTCCTATGTCAGATCTTCACTGAAACCGGAGCCCTGAGCTCCTTACACAATAGCAGTACGACAAGTGGCAGCACAGGCTTCCTGATCTCCTGATGAGTGGCAGTCTGGGACATTTGGAGCACTGGAGCATGTTAAGTGGGGTCTTTGGCCTCTTACATGATAGACACCAGTCATAGCCTCCAGTTGTGATACCCACAGAGGTCTTCAGACATTGCCAGAATGTTCTGCTGTACGGCAAAATTGTTCCTGACTGAGGATCCCTGTCCTGGCTAAGGCATGGTCTCTTCCCCAGTAGTGGTTCTGAGTCCTGATTCTTAGAGAACCTGTGTTAGGTGGGCCCTCCTGGCACCTTTCACTTCCTCCCAAAATCTCCTCCTTCCAGAAGGGCAGACAGGAAGATGAGTGCAGACTTGGGGGTGGCCTATGCCAGTACCTCCTTTCCTTAACTTGTATTTCTAATAAATGGGTGTGGCTTCTGGGTGTGTAGCTTCTTCCTTCCATCACTTTTGAGAAGAAAAGCAATTTTTCCACTTACTTTGGAATAGGAGGTACATGGCCTTGGCTCCATAGTCAGACATTATGGGGCCGTGTCGCAGTGAACAGTGTCCCCGGACTTCCTGTCCTCGGCCGTTGAGTTCCACTTCCCAGAGCAGCTCCTGTTTTTCCTTTTCCTGAAAAGATTTATTAGGAACCTTTTCAGACATTCTGCTCCTTTAATTCTTCTCCCACAATGACACACAGAGTATTCCGTGTTCTTCACCTGCCAGCTTACCTTGGCCATTGGTCCTGCCTGGAATTAAAGAGCTTCCTAGTTTGTTTAGGCCCCAGTGAAGGTGCGTGTGGAGGTGCTGTGCACAGCACCCCCATCTGCAGGCTCGGCCTGTGCTTCTCCAACACGGGGGTGGAGGCCCCTGGGCCCCTGGGAGTTTGGGAGTGAATATGGGAAGAGTATTTAAAATAGCCACTTACGGTCCACAGAACCCACCCCATCTTATTAAAATGCAAATTCCAGGAGGGGGAGCCTGCCTTTCCAGACTGCCTTGGGGTGAGGCTGGACCATGCTTTGGGTAGCCTGGGTGTGGACAGGACCTGACTCTGGTGCCCCCCAGAATAAGCCACTGTCTGCCCCGCCTTCCCTGTCCTGTGAGGGGAGCCCTTGTCCAGCTGTGCCCTCCACAGTGTCTTCCCTGTGGCCCTCTGTCTCCGAGCACTGCCCCGGCTCTGGCAGGGCACAGGTCTCCATTCTGACTCTGCACCTCTCGCAGCAGTAATTTCCCCTGCTTTGAGTTTTCCTTTTACTTTGATGAGCCTGGATTTTGCCAAGTGGATTCTGACGAAGTAGCTGAGTTTAATTACCTTTTCGTGTCCAGTTCCTGGGGTTAGCCTCTTCTTCCTCTCAGAGGCCACTGCGCAGGGGAAGAACTCTCTGATCTTAGGGGTGATTTCATGGCCGTCCGGTTCAGGCGCCTCTGTGTGTCTTGTCCTTCAGCTCAGGGATGCGGCCGTAGGATGAGAGGAACAGGAACCATTTTCATATTTGCCACGCCTGGTTAGGAAAAAACTCCTCCCCATACCCCTCCATCTTGAGTCTCTAGAACATTCCCTGCTCCAGCTTTAGGAAGCTCACCTGAGCCCAGAGGAGGGGCCACAGAGGGCAGGGTCATGCTTCCCTCTGCTCTCCATATCAGACTCCTCTCTTCTGAAGGGCTCCCTACCCGCTTCTGACATGTCCCACCCCCTTTCTGTGCTCCTCAGACTTAAAGAACATTCTAGAAAGTGCTGGATTTTTCCATGACTCTATACCAGGCTTAGCAGACTAAACCCAGCTGACCACAATTTTCAACCTGCAGCCTGCTTTTTCTCTCTTGTGACAGAGGTTTCAAATTTTTAGTGATTGAGAAAAATCAAAAGAAGACTGCTTGGTGACGTGTAAAATGATATGAAATTCACATTTTATTGTCCGTAAGTGGTGTTCTGTCGTACATAGCCACACTCATTTTTTTCTGTGCTATCTCAGCTTCTTTTGTGCTTTAATGGCACATTTGAGTAACGTAACAGATCCTATGGCCTCCCAAGCTGAACGTAATTGTTTTCAGAAATAACATTTACCAGCAAAGTTTGTAGTCTAATCTGTACCCTGTGATCCCTGAATTGTCAGTAGGCAGCCCAGGGCCAGGTAAGAGGCTTCCGGGGCAGCTGCCTGTGAGGAATGCTATTTGGATAAACAGGATTCACTGCAGAACTTATCAGAGCCTTTATTTTCCCTGGGTCCTTTGTGAATCTCTGAAGGGAGAGAGTTGCACAGGAGAATTCCAAGCTTATCTGACAATAGGTCATCTAACCTCCTTCCTCCGAAGCTCTCGGGAGCACGTGGAGGATGAGATAACATAACCAGGGAAAGGTGAACAGTCCCCCTCTTTGGAGTGAGTGTTGGCCTCGGCCTGTGGATACTGGCTGAACCTTCCCGCCTGGCCTCATGGTCCTGTGTCCCTGTCCTGCCTGACCCCTGGCTCACATGGCCCACCTGAGTCACGGCTCTCTCTCCCCTGGAAAGTGGGGTTAATCATTGTTTCCCCCTGGAGGGTGGTCAGGTGAACTCATGCAGGTGGAGAGTTGGGAGCTCAGCGTGAGGTGACAGTCACACATGAGTGCTTATGGTCATTGCCTGGGGCACTTCCCACAGCCATCCAATGAGCAGCTGCCCCACCACCATCTCCACAGTGCAGGGAGGAACCGAGGCTCTGCTGGCCCATCAGAGCTCCATACTGAGGCTCCCTAGGAGTGGCCAGGCAGCCTGGCTCCAGCACCGTGGGAGGGAGGGATGGGTGGACGGATGCCTGGGCCGTCAACTGCTCTCCCTCCGTGTTTCTCCTGGTACAGAAGGGTGGGAGAGGTGGCCACCTCCCTGCCACGGCCCCAGGGCCTGCACTTCTCGCACCTGGATCAACCATGTCCTGTACTCCAGGCTGGTGCTGGAGCTGTGGTGAATGGTGCACCACCCAGGGCTGGGTGAAGGAGGAGGGAGCATCCTGTGCAGAGGACCCCATCCTCCCGCTGGGGGTGGGCACCTAGTCTGTGGAGCCCTCTTGCATGGTTACTTGTGGCATTGGGGCTGGCTGTCACATCGCCCCCCCTGGTGGGGTCTGAGCAACATGTCCACCCCGTGGTGCTCTGCTCCATGGCTACAGTAAAGTCACCTGCCTGCCAAGCAGCTGGGAGGAGGAGGAGGGGAGGGCAGAATTCCCAGAAAACACTGGCTCCTGTGTCTGAGGATTGCTCCTGAGTGTTAAATTTTGTTATTGTGTTGCTGTTAGTTTTGAAATGAGATTGTTACCTCGGGCATATTCCAGGTGGGGAAACTGAGGCCAAGCAGGCTAAGGACTCTGACTCGGGCCTTGTGGATGTCACCAAAAACTTCCAGGGAATGTGGTCTGCAGGGATCAGACTTGGGGTGGGTTGCAGAGACTCTGTGGTCAGTGAGCTCTGCGGGGGCCCAGCAGGACCACGAAGGGCAGAGGTGCTGGCCCCGGCCTGCCTGTTCCCGCCAAGTCCCTTACCCTGAGGGGCTCCTTGCGGGAAAGGTGGAAGGAGGACCCCTGCCAGTGGCAGGGCTGGGTTGGACGCTGGCCAGCACCTCCTCCTCCCTGCTGAATCTCTGTATCCTGCAGCCGGCCAAGCCCCAGCCTCTGCTCCGGGGCTTGAAATCCAGAGGCCCACTTGTCCACTAACCAGATGTGACCGGATGCAGCCGGCACCCCAAGGGCTGGAGGGCATGAGCTGTCCAAGTGGGAGCTGGGGAAGGAGGCAGGATGGCGGGAAACAAAAGCAGCAGAGGCCACCGGGAGTGAGCCACCCCGGGCAGCGGGCCCCCAGGTGCTCCGCTTCCTGTTTGTCCAGGGGAACGGGAGGAAGGAGAGGCCGATGTCCCAGGGGCTGAGAGTGGTCTCTGGTGGCAAGGACGGAGCTGGGTCGTGGGGGCAGGCAGATGTTGCAAGTGTTAGCCGTGTTCTCACTTGTCGCTGGGCCCCTGGTCCGTCCAGAGAGGGGTGTGGGATTCATGTGTTTTCCACGATTAATGAGGAACATTCTTATCCTGTGGGCCTCAGAGGGGCAGCTGATGGCCCCGGGCCTGGAAAATGAAGAAGCCACAAGAAGGCGAAGATGCGGCCTTTGCTGTGGGTGGGTCGTGTCCCTCCTTTCCTGAGAGCCCCCACGTTTGCTCCCTGCCTGCTCCAGGGATCTTTCCCAGGCTCTCGGCTGCTCGTGCCACCTGCAGGCAGCCAGTGGGCCCACGAGGCACCTGCTGCCGCTGCCTGTCCTCTCCTCGCTGCCCGAGCCCTGCTCACCGCCCCCGCCCCGTGCCTGTCTGCGTCACTTCTGCAGCTGGACCCCATGGCCGTGGCTTTCCCAGTCTGTCACTTTTCCTACTTGAGAGGTCACAGTGGGGAGTCATACATGGGTAGCACAATGCTTGGCACAGAGCAAGTGCTCAGTAACTGGACCCACGAAGGAGGTGACCGAGGTGCTGAGCGCACGGGGAGGGCCATACTGGAACCCAGCTGTGTCTGGGCTCCTGGGGACACCTGTGGTTTTCTTTACCTGCCCGGAAGTAAGAGGGTCGCAGATGCTTTCTGGAATGCACCAGGCGATGTGTGTTTTGGGGTTGGCAGGTCGGGCATTGGCTTTCACGGTGTGCAGCTTAGCGTGAAACGAGC